CCCCCACCCCCCATTTCACCAGTCTTTAAATCCGTTTTGTCTCCATCAGCCCTTAGTCCTTCTACTTCTACTTCTTTTTTTCCTTATTTTCACAGAATATGTCCTCATCTTCTCCACAGCTCACTTACCTCACTTTGAACCCCCACCCCCTCCTCCCCCTTCCAGCTCCTCCTTCTATCAACATCCCTCGCTCTTTTCGTGGCTCACTACCCACCCAACCCTCCACCCTCCATATCCATATCTCCCCCACCTTTCCCCCCACTGACCCAGCCCCTCATCCTCCCACACTCCATCACTAGCTTCTCTCTCTCTCTCTCTCTCTCTCTCTCTCTCTCTCTCTCTCTCTCTCTCTCTCTCTCTCTCTCTCTCTCTCTCTCTCTCTCTGCGTTTGTATCACCCTCACTTTTTCCCTCCCCCTTCTCGTCGAAACTCTTTGCCAACATGAACTCACTTTCTCCCCCACTCTTCCTCTCCGCGCGTCCCTCAGAGGCATGTTTAATTAAGCGTAGGGCTATGTGTCAGCCAGAGAAGGAGAGAGCTAATGCTATCTGGAGAAGCAGACTTTAGACCAGGCAGGATCGCCTCCTGGTTTTGTCTTCTCCTCCTCCTCCCCCTCTCTCTCCCTTTGGTCTGGGCTAGTCATAATTACCCTGCTCATTAGCAGAGAAAAGAGGTGTGCTGGGAGAGGAGGAGCCATAAGGGGAGTGACAGAGGACAAGAGGAGGAACAAAGGAGCAGGAGAGGAGACGGCAGGTATTACACTTTATTATCCTTAGCGAGGAATTACTTGAAGGAATGGACGACCGGGGTGTCGTCAGTAAAGTCAGAGGAAGCACGTTTTGGAGACTTTGTAAAGTGTTTATTAGTCTTATTGGATTTGGAAGGAGCGCCCCATCTGCTAAACAGAAAAAAGATTTTCACATAGAGGCCTCTAAGCATGTTTATACGACTTCTATACACTTTTACAAGTTTTGTGCAGGGGAGGCCTGCAGTGTCACGGGCTCCTCAGATGTCTGGACTTTGTTGCACGTTGTTGCAAAAAAACCAATCAGGTGCACAACTAATGGAGATGATGTAACCTGTTGGGTGTTGTTAGATTAAATTATCACCCTGTAAAAACAAAGGGGGTAATTGCTTCTGTGTTCATCACTGCTGCAACAACTTTGGTGATTTCATTCATGAGCTGCAGCTCTGCAGTGCTGCAGATTTGTGCTCCTGAGGCTGCAGGTATAAACCCAGGTTGCATCAGGAAGTGCATTATGTGTAAATCAATTGTCAAATTAGAAGGGATCAGCCAAAAGGGTATTGTGCAAAAACTGAGTTGACCCTTGTTCCTTTAGGTTTTGTGAAAAGAGCCTGACTTTCTGGTGAAATTGTTGACATAAGCTAGATAAACAGCTCTTCAGGCTTTCAGAGGAACTTTAAAGTTTTGATGCTTTTATACTTGTTTTCTGTGCAGTTTCTGACTATTTTTAGTTAGGTTTTTATGTCTTTGACCTGTGGTACACCCAGTGGCAAAGAACCAAATAAATGTGATTTTTAAACCTATCACAAAGACACAATTTGTTCCTATTCATACATTAAACAGTATTTTATCACTGCAGCAGGTCTGTATTATTATAATACTTTATAAAGCACCTTTTTAAAACACATGTAGCAAAGTGCTTTATATTAAAAAAAATCTATGAAAACATCAAAAAAGACACAAAATATAAACCAAATTAATTAAAATATTTAAAAATATTAAACAAAATAGAATAATAAAAAATGCAAAAGAAAGTCAAAATTTAAAAGCCTTATTATAAAGGTAAGTTTTAACTAATGATTTAAAAGAAGACAATGAAGTGGCCTGTTTAATATTTAGAGAGCGTTTAGGGGAACATTTAAAAGAGCATTTAAATTATTTGTCTAATCCGTAACAAAAATCCCTTGCTTACTGTGATCAATTTTTGTTTTTGTGGGACACAAAGATCACACTGGACTCTGCTCGCCAAAAACAGACAGAGAAAAAAATGAAGCAACTTTAAAATTAAAATGCATCTTTGTAGAATTATTCATTCATAACTCAACTTGAGATTTGTTAAGAGTAAACATGTAAATAAGTCATCTTATACTCGAAGCAAATTTCTCCCTCAGTTTTTTTTTTTTCGTGTGAGTTTCAGGGTTTTTGACTGACATCGGAACACTAGCAGTGAAAAACGTGAACCAAGCAAAGGTTAGCTTCCAGTGTTGTTGCTGTTTGTGTTCATGCTCCCTCTATTTGTTTCATTAACAACAAGGTGATTACTAAAAAATATTTACTGAAAACCTGTTAATGATCAACTGAAGGGTGGTCATCAGGTCTAGTGCCACATTTTTCAAATACTTTTTTCTATTTCTTTAAGACTTGACTTGTAGATGCTGTTCGTCCGCTGCAGACAGGTTTTTAGGCCTGACAGTTCTTCCTTTGTCCTCCACTTGTCCCATTTTTATACAGACTGCACAATATGTCATAGTCAGAAGTGGACAGAAAATGAGTAAAAAGGCCAAGTCCAAAAAGAGAGAGAGAGAAAAAACAAAAGAACAAAAACTTTAAGAACTACTTTTTAAGACCACTTATAAAATAAAATGCAAGAAAGTCTGACTTTTTGAGTTGAGTAACACATTTTGCAGAGTAGTGTATTTTCCGTAAACCTTTAGTGACCTTGCTGTTTGCACTTTGTGGTCTTACAAAAACTAAGTTATTGTTCAGCATGGCATCCAATGGATCCAACTTCTAATTTCAAATAACAATAATAGAAAATGAAGGTTCAATTAAACATGCAGTTCTGGTTTTGCAGACATTTACTTAAGGTACCACAACTGAGTCACATATAATGAATCTGCAAGAAGTGTTTAATTCAAGGGAAATGTAGGTAAACTTGATATTTTGGGTTAAATTAATGAGCTTTTTACCAGATTCTGCATGTGTTCCAGAGCCGCTCAGGTTGGAGTCAGGTGTGCTGATGTACAAAACTTACAAGCATTCGCTCCTATTTGTTGTCCAGGCAAGTTTCCAAGAGAGCAGGTTCATTTGGCCCACATGTTGGGAGCTCTTTGGCTGCTTGGCCTCCCGTATGTAGATTGGCATAGATC